ATATATATATATATATATATATATATATATATATATATATATATATATATATATATATATATATTTAAGGTAAAAAATGTGCCAAAAAATTAATAACACTAATGGTTAGATTTAATTGTTATTTAAATAATATAACTTGCATAAGTCGAACTTTTATTTCTTGCTTTTCTTCGTCCAAGTCGATTATGCCAAGAAGTGGTCTTTACACGTCATTAAGCAGGCCTTACTTAATTAAAATCAAGTATCGAAATGGTTCTTTTTCGCTCAAAAGCACGTCTAATAATCTCAACAAGAACACACGATACATAAAACTAGTTTCTTGCATGCATTAATCATGGCGTGTGTTACTTTTTTCTGTAAGAACCAGCATCTCGTCGATACGTAATTTCAAGCGACGCATGTCGAGATTATCGTTCGTTCCTGAATTTTATCCTCAGGGCAAAATCCATTCTCTCGGCATCAAGCAATCAAGGGAACGTTGCAACTCGCACTATTAATGTCAGTGTAAACCGGATAATTTCTATACCTAAATATGCAGATAGACTTATTCAGTACACAAATTTGAATATTACGGATATTCAAATATTACTAAATATTACTTGAAATACCCGAATATTTAGGTACAGGAAAGCAAAAATGGCAAGTAATATCCATTTGCCATCTGTTAGATTTTCACAGTTGCTGACTTCGCATCGACTGATCTTGTCTCTTTATTAAGTGCAATATACGTTAATTATCTTTGAATAATCGAGCAATTTTCATAATAATTAGATATCTAATTATTATTTATCTAATTATTATTATTATGAGGAACCCGGAAAGGCCCAAATTACTCTAGTATCTGGCTAATACTCTCAAGTACCGAGGGATCTAATACTGACATCACTAACTCACAGTGCTTTCAAAGTGTTTGACTTTTACCAAGTAAAGCTCGACCAACTTTCGAATGTTATAACTTTCTGGTAATGCATCATTTCAATTAAAAAACTCACATTTTGCAGCTCCGCATCCAAAAGTTCCAGTCCCGGAATACCGCTCGGCGTGCCACTCGGACCGCTACTGACGAATTTTTCAGTAGTGGTCACTCTCGTACGAGTCGGAGAGACGGGTCTGGATAAAAGTGTTTCATTTTCATATTATATCTTTATATCTTTGCGTATTAGCACAATTGACTGAGACAAATAGTGCTAAATTGTCGTTTAAAATCAGAATGTTGTTTCTTTCTTACCTGCCTTCGGAGACTACTTTGGTGGGGTTGGCAGCCACCCGATATTCAACTTGGGGTGAGAGTGCTCTGCCGCCCCGGCTGGGAGTAGCACTTCTCGAGACACTCGTCTGCAAGTCCTCCAGAAGTGCATCTGAAAGAGCCAAATGAATAGCAATTTGATAATAGTCGTCGCTCACATTGTTCTGAGAAGCAAGAGTATCAAGACAGCTATTGAATACACAGACGACTATAATTGACATTAAAGTAAGCTGTACCCAATTTCATCAAACCTTTTAAAATCGAATTTTAAATATTACATTATTATTATATTACAGGAATTTTAATCTGTCACATCAAGTCTTGATAGAAAAGAGAAGAATTTAAGATAGTTACATTATTAGATGTTCAACGTGTTGCTTATTCAGCTAATTAATTATCTCCTAAAACTTAGAAATAAAAAACTGTCACGAATAAAAAGACTCGCATTCGTCAAACAGAAGAAAGCGGAGTGTTACAATGGATGGATAGGGTTACACCTTCGGTGGCACATTTAAAAGTTTACCTAAGTTGTTTTCGAGGCTGCTGGCTGTAGCTGCTCCGTCTCTCTGGCCAGATATAGGACCGCCATGACTCACAATTTTCCTGCTGGTGTGTGTAGTCGTTCGCTCCTTCACAGCTGCTGACATTGCGTTCCTCTTAGGCCCTGCCTCACGAAATCTGTAACAAGTAACATAAGAGCCCGATCTGAATTGTGATCCTAACTCAGCGTTAACTGTTTCACCGTTGATCGAGTTATCGACATCGAGTTGATCGAGTCAGATTATCTTTCATGGTAGAGCGTGATATTTATAGAACCTGGAGTTATAAATATCGCTGAATCGATATTAGATTCTGGATCTGAGGGTGCGATGTAGAAACTTTTGCGTCCAGTACTTGGAGCCGGTTTATGGGCAAGGCTAACGCAGGAATTGCAATCGGCCACTTCTAGATTCAAGTGGGTGTATACATTTTATGATTTCTGTCCTGCACGTGTAATTTTTTCCCAGTTATAAAGGCGACTCTTTAACATATCACTGGCTACTTGACAAAATATGCTCAAAGAAAAGGCTTGTGCAATTTGTGCACTGATACTCTGCGCTAGTAGATGACACTGCTTTGCGTCTTAGGAAGCGTAATGTTCTGGTCTGCAGAAACTGGGGTCTGCTCAAAATACACCGGGCTGGTGAAAGGGATGAGATCAGTCTGGAAGTTAAATCGACGGGAAATGCCAAATGTCTTATATTTATTCCGCGGGAGGCACCAGTTACAAATGGGGCCATGGGGCCAAGGAGGCCTTCCGAGAATCTGCAGCTAAAGAGGTATGCGTATGGTCTAAACTTGCGAAAAGCATTACATGGGATAGTTTCTGGGTATCGTATTTTGGAAACAGTAGTTCGATTATTATACGAGAATAATCCTTGATTGTATTAATGATACTAAGGCGACTGTTATGACCCAAATTTGGCACTGACGGATGTCTTTTATTGAGAGCGGGTTCGTTCCAAGGTCAGTTTAATGCAGATCAAGGATAATTGTGGTATTGTGCTCGCCTTCTCGACGAATGTCGCCGTTGATTATGATTTATGAGTAGTTAATAACATCGCACTCGAGCTGTATACCAATTTATCAAGATTGTCACTAGAAGTACTTTGCTTCGAACAAAGAAAAAGTAAACAACAAAACGTATATATTGTAATATATATTATCTACAAATTGAAAGAAAAATTCCCAAATTCAATAATCGTGGGTAAACTTACATAAGAATTTACATAAGAATTTACATAAGAATTCAAGTTAAGATTATATTACTTAAGTCTCGGATTCTGCCGCATAATTTCACTTTTAGGTAAGTTATTGCAAGTCGACTTTTCTCTAAGCACGTTGTGTCATTCTAGTTTGATATAGAATATGTGTACACATAACTGCTTGCTCGAACAAGCAATATCGATCACAGTGGCGTAATTAAAACTCGAGATGTTCGGCTTAAAAACAATCGCACGATAAATATAATTTTTTGTAATAGCAATAAAAATTACTTCCTTGATCATTGAACATATATGGGAGACGAAGAGAGTGCTATATTTATATAATATGTAATAAAATGTATACGATCTCCGAGTAGCACACTTAGACATACACTTAGACATACAAAGTGGAATTCGGAACGATCTCATATAATCGCACATTGCCGGGCGCAGTTACGCCATTGATAGCGCGCGATGTAACCGCTTTAAAGAGATAGTTAACTGAGTCTCATCGTAAATGACATTGTATCCCGCTCTCCAAGGTTATCGTACCAATCGAAATAACGATAATTACATTTCGTTCGATACCGAGAAAGCCGTGCAATCGTAAATTTTATTTGAGTTTGCCTGCGATGTTGTTGCAACAAGCATATCAGAATTTTAGCATATCAGTGGTGCAATTTTCTTTTTCTTTTCATTTTTTACATATAATTTACATGCGCGCATATGTTATCACCGACAGCGATTCATATTTTCAACGCTCTTGCGCGTCACCGATCTCGAATTTTGCGCGACCGGTTTCGTCGTATTTAAACAAGAAGAGGTTGTGTGCTGTGGACGGAAGGGAAACACAAGGGAGACCGTTTGCACTGCGAAATTAGCCGTCGGCGTTGAGTTCACGATGATACCATGTAGATTAACCAACAATATGAATGATTACTGAGCGGAGTTTTGACAAATGTATGAGTTTAAATCGAGACTGAAAAGAAGCTTTGATAAGATATAAAATAGAACTAACAAAATTATACGAGCTTCAAAAAGACTTCACTCAATGAGCTGGTCAATCTATCAAGATTAGATGGATGACAGCCATTAGTCATTGGATCACGTAAGTAAGTATGGCATCAATGTAAGTTACTTTTAAACTCGGTACGAGCAAAAACGAATTCGTGACTAACGTGCTCTATTTCGCGACCAGAGCTTCTCGACTGTTCGGGGTTCGTAAATAATACAAATCATGTTAGAATGTTACGAGATCATGTGTATTTTTGTTTCTAAAGAATAAAAGCTCCTCGATTTTAAAATACATCAGTGAAAGATTTCCGCGCAAACATACATACATTTATTTTTAAATAGCAATGAATATATTTCGGGTCTCTTAGCGAGAATTAAAGAGGCGTGATTTTTGACTATACAAAGTGTGGTAGCAATATGATTAATATGGTTGGGGATACCATTGCACACAAGAAGTACATTCATTGCACTGCACACTGAAAGAACACGTTGTAAATACGAGATTGCGCTACGCCGTTAATACTGCTATATTGCTATGCATAATAAAGCTGTTTACTACGAATTAGTGTATAAACCGAGTAGTTTTTAAAGCAGGTATTGTACACAGAGAGAATGATTTGATTGAATCAAATAGACACTCCTCTGGAATAGTCCAAACGAATTTTTTGGTTGATCGAGCAAAATTTTGTTTGACGCAACAAAAATATTTATTTGCGGCTTAATTCCAAAGAAATATTTTTGTTGTGTCAACCAAATAATTTGTTTGGACCAAGCAAACATTTATTTGATTCAATAAATCGTTCTCTCTGTGTGTAGAATTAGATATTATAAAAATCGGGTACTCGTATAAGCTCCGAGTATTCGGATATTTACTAGAGATGTGCGAACTATTCGAATTCGAATCGAATCAAGTGAAATTTGAATCGAATCAAGTGAAATTCGATTCGATTCAATTTCGAATCCCTATGATTCGAATCCGAATAATTCGAAAATTTCCAATTGAAAAGTTTCGAATACGAATCGCACACATTACATTGAAAAATTTCTGGTAATAATTATCCAGCCTGTTATAATTATTACATTCAGTGAAATAGTATCAACTATAAGAGGTGAATATTACTAACTATAATAATGAAAATTAATATAACAATTTTGTAATTATTACCAAACATTTGGTAACATTTACCATATTGGTTACTATTTACCAAATGGTATGGTAAAACGCATTTAGTAAGTATTACTAAACTTCTTTTTCCAGTGTAGCATTAACGAAGTACTATTAAAGATATCCAGTCTTACGGGAATTAGTATGACTTGAAAAGTTTACATTTTTATATATTAAGATTTTCTTCAAAAATATTAAAAGATGATAATGGTTTTTAGGTAAACTCTTATCGACAACTGTCAGATCGATATGTGTCATTGCACAGCTTTCAAGGCTGGAACTGTATTCCATACACGTTTACCGATTATACAGGGTGTCCCGTATCACTTTCACAATCTCTCGTGAGGAAGTAGAACAGATTGAGATAAACACAAAAGTCCTATACCATTTTGCGATATTCGCAATAATAGTCGAGATATTAATTAAAAAAGATTGGTGAATGATAATGCACGATGGTAGATGAGCTGCAATTGCGCCGTCTACCACTGTATACTTGTACATTAAGTCAAACTGAACAAAAAAGTCCTCTACCATTTTGCAAAATGACAACATAGATTTTTAGATATTAATCAAAGAAAATTGTTACATGATTATGTGCCATAATGCACAAATTTTCTTTAATTAATATCTAAAAATCTATGTTATTTGCACAATGATAGAGGACTTTTTTGTTCAGTTTGACTTAATGTACAAATATATAACGGTAGATGGCGCAATTGCAGCTCATCTACCATATCGCGCATTATCATTCACCAATCTTTTTTAATTAATATCTCGACTATTATTGCAAAAATCGCAAAATGGTATGGGATTTTTGTATTCATTTCAATCCGCTCTACGTCCTCACGAGAAATTGTGAAGGTGATACCGGACATCCTGTATATTATATATCTCTTATCTTAAAATGAATTGGTATACATGATCAATGTTATCTCTTTCATATTAAAGTCACTATTTTCATGTTGAATTCAATGATTATGTTAATTAAAAATTCTTTCAACGATTCTATTTGGTTTTATTCGATTCGATTTGGGTGAAATTTCATCGATTCGATTCGATTCGAATTCGAAATTAAAATCTGAGGTTCGATTTGATTCGATTTGACATAAAAAAATCCTTGTTTCGCACATCTCTAATATGTACTAATACTCAAATGCGCGGATACTATTTCAACAGTCAGACACCACTTGAGGTAACCGAGTATTCAAATACGCAAAACTAAAAATAGCGAGTGACATCCATCTGCAACCTGCAATTAATTTTTACAATGTATTAATTTTTACATGTATACAATAACTATGATATTTCAATATTCAAATAACTTGTATAATAAATACTCAGAGCGTAACTTCATCATTATTACGAATAAACTCTATTGTATGTAACGAGCGGTAGCATATTGTATCCAAGTATACGTTATATAACGACAGTCTAGTACCTAATACTGTTAATTGTAGAATCACATCGGTTACGGCGCTGGGTTCATTCAACATGCGTGGGACGGCGAAAACGTATAAACGTTACAAGATTATAACCGTGTCAACGGGAGAAAGTACCATGTTTATATTCAGGAAGCAATTGCGCAAAAGGTAGTAAGCACCAATATCACCGTGTCCCATCGAATATGAATGAGTTTCTTTCATTGGGCATTCACTGAATTCCAGTGATCGCACCGGGAATGCAAACTTAGGTTTGACTCTTCAGTCGAAAACAAAATATCTTTTGCAATGTTTAATTTCTTTTGAGATGTCGTGAAATATTTTGTTTTTGTATCACAACCGATATCGAGAGTATCCTTATTTCACAATATTGTGAGGTAAATAATTGAGGTATTAAATAGTTGAGATAATAAAGTTAAGATAATGTCTCTTCCTTAGCTTTGCTAGACTATGCTGCTCATATATTGACGTGAGACACGTGTAAAAATGTAAAACCAAATCTTGTGTAAATTTAATCACGACGTTTGATATTACGTGGATGGCAGTAGACCAGCCAACTGGCGCTCGAAATCTCATCTCATCTCTTTCTCATTTTCTTCGTCGCCGCCATGTGTGTGTTTCCCTACCTTCAACCGCTGCTATTCTCCGCTCTTTGTTTAACCTGCTTAAATATAACCCACCCACTTTCATGCCGTCATTTGCTTCTCAACGGACAGATTTCTTATTGCCGGCGCGTAAATAGTAAACGTCTCATGGCATTTTTTCTTCAACATATGACATTATCTAAATGTTAGAAAAAGAACGCGTTGAATAATATAATGTAATAATAAGCTACTTTAACATGATTTTTATTTTGGCTTGATATCTATATTTTTATCGATTTTACGTCATCTCTTTTATTAACGTTTCGTTAACACCAGACGTTTCGGGACGTTCACAAACAAAGCATAAATCTTAACGTATACACAGTGTCAACATAAAATTTGCACACGTTCCTGCCACTATATTGTTCAGCGATAACATTTGTTGTCATTTTTGTAAAACATTTATTAAATTGTGTTATATATCGATATTTTTTAATACGGACTTTTTATATTATTATACGAGAAATTTCGATGTTTGATGTTTAAAAATATCAAAAATTAATTTTTCCGTGACGCTTGCAGTCTTATACAAACTTATAAAAATGGAAGAAAAAACGTATCGCCGTATGCGATTCTATTTTCAGCGCGCCACGCGATGGTAAGAAGCACTATAAGCCAGGAGCCAATATGTTTTTGGCGCGCATACGTTACACCTATTTTTGCTTCTACTTTGGTCGCATGACATTCTTTTTTTCTCATTCCAACTGCGAATCAGCCCTATTCCTTTTCTTATGTCTGCTTCGTGCAAAAATATATCACCTAATTAAGTAGTATAGGTAAAAATGAATTAAAATAGAAGTGAAGAATATATGAAAGTTACTGGAAATCATTTAAAAAATAACTACTTTTTCGAATCCTTCTAAATAATACAAGCAAAGTGATTAATTCTTAAAAAAATGAATATTTCAATATTTAAAAAATCATAATATAATTTGTTACCTTTTCTCTTTAATTTTAGAATTAATAATACCGTTAAAAGCCTAATTAACTCTAATAAAATATCATTCTGTATAAAAGGGTTTCGCATGAAATCAAAAGTTTGTTGATTATGTCACTATCCTTACGCATTATGTATCGCTTACGAAGCACTTAATGAACGTTATAACGTCTGTAGCAACGCTTGAATGGTCGGTATTTACTCCGAGCGGTCCTTGAAACACGCCTAACATGGCCGAGAGATCCGCGAAGACGGAAAGTGGGATTCGACCTTCCGCCTATCTTCGAAGTATGATGATCTGCTCATCGTATCACGTACGCTTGAAGAAACAAGTTCCAGTTGCTACACAGTGTCGCAGACATATCTGTCTTCCACATCTATTCGGAAATCTGATTACAAATATAGTTTCTATATTTGCTACGAGGAATGTAAGACGCTTACTTTAGCGCTCTATAATTAAGTCTTATGAAAGAATAGTGAGTGATTTCCGCGCGGGAATGAACTTTTTAACCTGCTAATGTCAAGAATCACAGCGTGTTTAACTAGTGACATGTGCGGCATAAAGATGCTCACTGTTTGCGGCCACTCAAAGACGCAGCGCCTTTTCGATGACGGAAGATTAATTATTAAATGGAGCCGGTAACGTCGCGACCAGAGTACCAATAATAATTCAATAGAAATAATTAGACAGTTGCGTAGACTGGCTTTATGTTAAGATAATTGATGTTAATTGCCGACTATGACGTCTCTAATTTACAGACTAGTAATTAATAAATTGTGTTGATTCCGTTTGCAGTATAATCATGTCTAGACTACTTCTAAATAATTTCTGTAATTTGTGCTTTATGTGCTTTCAATATTCATTACTCTTAATTTATATTACAATTTTAGATTTAAATTTCGTTAGTTTTCCATTCCATTTTTTAATTTAAAGGTATATAAAATGTAGAATATAAAATATAATATAATATAAGTGTACGGAATATAAAATAAAGAGAATCATTTATACGTCAACATTTCGATCTGTTTTAGAGAGTACTAAAAAAAATATACAAGAAGCTCATGTAATTATGCTTACCTCGCGAGAAAGGGTAATCCCAAATTTGCACACCGACTAAATCACTCTTTTCTTTTTATGTTTGTTTTCTTCCCGGCAGGTTTGCTCACACGTCGGGTCTAATCGATCGATCGTAGATCGGACAAGCAATTCGCGAGGTACTGGATTGGCGGCCGTCCGTCCAGGACTGGCTACATCTACTCGCTACGTTACTCGCCGGAGTCCGACGTTGGCGGACAGGATCAGTATGTGCGCATGCGCGATAGATCGCGACTTGTCAGGTGTCCACGACTCGTAGAAGTCCTTGATCATCAAGATCTAAGATCTAAAATCAAGAGATTATCGATATTGAAAAATATTAGTAATTGGTTCGAGTTTAAATCAAACTTTCAACGAAGAAAATTGTTACCTCGCAGACACGCAATTTTAATGAAGCTTGTAAAGACTTGGGACGTGTATAACACAATAAAAATACAATTTAAAATTGTTTGATAATGGATACTTGTTTTTGTCAGTTTATGTACATTGTCGTCATAAGTGTGCCTAATTGATTAATCAGAAAAACGCATCCACTCAGCTTGTTTAGTAATAATAAATTTTATTTGATAAACATGTAGTTAGGTAACGTTTATACCTCTTCGGTTACTTTTCTTGAACTCTTCTCTTCTTTACGTGAGATAAATAATATTAATGAAAAACTAATGTAGAACGAGTCATTTCTTTTGCACTTAAAGTATTAGTGAGGAATAGATCTATTCTTAAAAGAGAGTATGCGATCCAACTGCTCCGACGATGACGTCATGATGGCCAGAGTTGGAGTATGACAAAAGGTGCCTTAACCTGTCGGTGACGTCAGTTTTCTTGGTCCACGCCATTACAGCTCGTAAATATGCATCTTTATTTAAGATTGTGGGTAGTCGAATACATTTAACTAGTTGTCATTGAAAATGATGAAATTACTTCATAAATCATCGGATTTATGCTGTTACCGTCAGTTGCTAAGTTGATTGGGAACAAGTACGAAACAATAATACTTATGAATCAGTACCATTTTGTTCCATTTTTGACAAAGAAATTATATTAAATTTTCATACACTATATAAATGTAATTACATGCATTATTTCGTATTTTCTATACTAAAGTAACGACAACAAGTGTCATGGTAGAAATTGATATTATCTTCTGATGTAACGACAGAGATTGTTAACTATAGTTTTGCTTACCTTATATATTCGTGTACAATAGAACATAAAATATATTTTTATATATCTCGTAAGACTATCTCGTAAGTCTCTATAAGACTAGTCTCACACCTGCAGATTTTATTTAAATGCAACTTTCCAGACGATATGATTCCTAGTTGAAAAGGATATATGAAGTTTTCCCACGTATTATTTCATTTATAATTACCATGATTTATGAATACAATTTCACGCATGTGTATAAAAACAAATGTATAATTTATTCTACATCGGTTATTGGTTTCCTCATCGCGCCACCTGTGAATCCCTACTTTGAGTATAAATTCCCATGGATAAATGTGCCGCATCCCTGATTGTAAATTCATCATTTACACATTTGCTATGCTCCTGTGCCAAATGGAATATCAGCGATACGGTGAAAGTAGCATAAGCCTGATGATGTAAGCTGGATTGAATTTTCGACGCTAATACTGAACATCTCTTGCTGAGCTATTATTTTACTACTCGTCAAACTGTCGTTGCGTAAAGCACTCATAAATCACTTGTACATAAGAAAGAAACAAGACAGCGGAAAGTTTGCAACTTCATTTGTGGTATTCACACCCCCGCTGTGCGGTTCAATAAATTTTTTGGGACAAACCATACACGTACACTCTTATAATGTTCTTGATGTTTTAGTTCGTTTTTTTAGACATTAACATTAAATGTGCGCAATTGTATGGATTTTGGCGTTTGCTATGCGGGCACAAATTATACTAACTACGTTTCTGTGTTCAAGCAAGGGCACCTGCGTAGGTGTGGGAGAGCAACGACTTCTATGAATAAAGGTGGTACATCAACGAGGCTCAGTTCATATGTATGCGCATTCGCGCGCATGTGTCAGGTGGAGGCTTTCGCCTCGGGAACAACACTATGGAGGGCAAAGGCCGGGGGAATGCACGGTGAAGTGCGGTGAGGACGAGGGAGGCGAGAGCCTATAGCAAGAGATGGTAGTAGACAGGAAGAAACAGTGGAGGTAGCAGGTAGATGTGTAGTCGGTTGTATACTTGCACACCAATACGCGCGTGTCACATTCGCACGAGCTAGCGAGGGTGTTGGTTCGCCACACTATGGGGGGCTTACAGGGAAGAGCAGAAAACGAAGTTACCCCGGGAAAAAGAAGATACAAGAGAAAACGTTGTCAACATGACTTTGAGGTCAGGTGCGACGTTCGCGATTTTCGACATCTTCTCAAGTGCCACGTCTATTTAAGTGTCGTGTGACATATTGGCGCAGTTTATATTGGAGACCTTCCCATTTATCGTTCAACGTAACACGTGGGCGATACGTTTCGTGATTGAGTAATGGCAGTTATCGATTGCCATTGCAATATGTACTGGAGCAGATACGAACTGTGATTCGATGGATATATTTCTCATAAGACTGCGCTAAATTGGCAAAAATATTTCGATTGTCACCATTTTATCTAAAATTGTCTAGTATTTATGAGCTGATGGCTATTGCCTTCGTTTCCTAGTCACGTATCTGATTTATGTTCTTACGCACGTCCTTAGAACTTAAGCAGATTCCAGAATACAAAAGGACAAAGAAAAGAGACAATGATAACGAGAAAATGGTTCAGATGACGAGGATGAAGTAAATCAGAGAAGATGAATAAAAGTTTTTATGCAATATTCCTTTCTAAAAACACTGATTTTTCTCTCTACTTTTGAAAAAAGATCCTCAAAGCTACTGCATCGTCTATCTATTTTAGCATTCTCATTTTAACACATTCGCATGTCTCACCAGACGTGTTTAAATTCAGTACGTGAAGAAAATACCGGAAAGAGGTGAGTGACTGCTAGCATATTACTTCACAGTTGCAGGATATAAAACAAAACGATATAAAATCTACAATAAATGCAACATGTTACACTTAATTTACCAAAATTGCATGAAAGAATTTGAAAAAAAAAAAATTCCCAAGTGAGCAAACCCCATCCATCATACTATGCAAAATTTGAACCTTCACCTTCTAGCTACGCTACTGTGCACAGCCACATACAACTCAACTGTACTTGCGTACAGCACAACGTGTACATACACGAAGAACGAGTGAAAAGAAAAGAGAGTCAGAAAGAGAAGGACAGATCGACAGTTGGAGGAAGTGGAGGCAACGGGTGCGGTAGTGGTGGCGGTGGCTGCGTTGGATGTCTAGCCGGGGCAGGCCAGGTTGGAAGAGCAAAGGAGGCAAAAGCGAGGTGGATTGGAGAAGGAGAGACCGAGGGAGTGAGTGAGGGAGAGAGAAAGAGAAGGAGAGGGAGCCAGAGTTGGAATGGAAAGGCAGTCAGGTTGCTCGGCGAGGTGGCAGGAGTGAGGGACGAAGCAGAGAGCGGTTTAGCTGGCTTTGCCTCGGTCGGAGCCACGGAGTGGAGTATCGAGAGAGCAACCGAGGTCCCGTTGGCCCTGGTGGTCGGCTGCCCCGGGTGAGGCGTCATGAAAGCGCGTCAGTCGACCGAGTACACCTCCGGCCGTACGAAAGCAAGCTGAACGCTCCGTTTGCTGTCTGTTTCCCGGCTCTCCCTCTCCGCCGCGCTTGCGTCCGATTTCGGAGCACGACGTTGACACGCGGCGGCCGGCGGCGAACCTTCCAGGACATCCTCCCCGGGGGGTTTACCGGGACCTCAGGATGACAGAGATAGCAGGCAGATGTCTGTCCGGATCAGCGAGCGACTGCAGTGGTGAACGAGATTGCGAGTTGCAGGGATGTTCTTCTCTCCCGTGCTAACGAAGCGTGATTGGGACGGTGAAGTGATACGAGCAGTGTCCTGGATAATACCTCGGTAGCCGGTGGTCTAGAAGAAAATACTTTTGTTCTGCATATGACTGCAAAGTTAGTATTTGTCACCTCCTATGGCGTTTGTTCTAAACCTGACCTTCTTGATTAATATTTCATGATGTTTCTTATAATGCGCCAGTAGATCCTTTTGTCGATGTCTTAAACGAAGGTGCAGGGAGTGGTGAAGACAATGGCTGTAGAATAATGCTCAGGTGCGCGTTCTTTTGTTAACCGAGACGGTTTTCCTTAGTACACAAGACAGCTCCCGTTTCCCATGGCTTTTGTCGTGATCAGTGATTCAGAATAGGTTCGCGTCATTAACTGTGACGTGCGGCAAATCTTCTCACGTGTGATATTCCGCGCAGGGGATCACGATAGTGCGACAGAAGGAGACTTACCTTCGGTAAGTGTACACGTATGAAAGAAACCGCAGAATTATGGCCAACTGCTGCACGGCCATAATTTACATTTAATTGCTTTACGTTACGTCACGCAGTTGAACTTGTGTGTTTTATCAGTGACACTGGATAAAGCGCAGTCAGGAGAAACAGAAGAGATCTAGGCTAGACACAGATGTGTAAACGAGCGCATCATACAAGAGGCCGGAACTGTCGAGATCTCTCCGATTCTATTTTCTACACCAAGTTCCTTACGACTTCTACGTTCTCCTATCGAGGAATCGTCGAATGACAATTAACAATCATCACACTGAGTTCAGAACAAAGAGTATTGCAATAAATGCGAAAGAAACGGCTGGACCTACCTCTCTCTGCGGACGAAATCGCGCGCTTCCGATCGTCGAACAATCTCCCGGCTGCTTCGAATGTTTGGCGGAACTCGCTCCATCACCTCATCATTGTCACGTCGACGCTTCACCCCTGCAGTTCGTTACTCCCTTTTGCACTTTGAAGTGGTCGGGCCGCATGGTAACGGAGGGATGAAACTAATCTAGTACAGGGTATATATTTGATATCGTATCTTGTTTCGCGAACAGAGTCTGACGACGAGGGAATAATAGGCAGGGGATAACGCGAAGAGAGGTGAAACCAATGTAGTATGCGCTTTTCGCGATGCAAAAGACGAATTGATTTTACAACGAACGACTGGTCGCTCCCTCTCAGTAGGTTATACGCTATATTTATATGACGTGTTTCGAAAATAACGTCAGGGAAAAGGAGGCAGTTTAATCGCCGGTGGGCGAACGAACCGGTATTCTGCTGATCAACCTGAAAAAAGACAGCGGTAACGCACAAGACGCAAAATAAAAGGTCTGATCGTTTCGGAATAGTTACGAGTATACCAATCGCCTTTTTAACGTCAAATATTTCCTACTTCAAGATTCCACGTAAGAGATATTCGCGGAATCAAAAGTAAACAGAAGGAAAACGCAAATTAGACCGTCCGTTCGCCGAAGAAGTCTCACGGGCGAAGGAAGCATCGCGACATTCAAAAGTAACGCAGAAAACATTCCACGTGTTGTTATACTCCGGAGCAAGACAAGCGAGACAAGAAACGCCCTTTTGCACGCATTGCTCATTTGCACGCAACAGATCCAAGCCGTTTGACCTTCGCGCAAACACCGTACGATTTGTCAAAGAGGTGCTCCATGAGGAGCGATCGGTACGATCTGTAAAAAAAATAGTCGATCCAATTGTGTTCATTCACTTATCTTCTGCGAGTTACTTACGTAACTCTGGACACCTGACACAGAGAGCGGATGCGGTGGGGATGTCCGGAGATTAAAAGCAGCGGCGCTCGGGACTCACACGCGTCATTATTTCCGGTATATTGGATCCGCAATAACACACACACACACACACAGCCTTCAGTCAGTCAGGAGGAGGCCTCCGACGGCACGCGGCTCGCCGGCTGATATGGCAGCGGTCGTTCCTTCCATCGTGGTTCCTCGGCTCCTTCGCCATTGCCGCCGTCACTACCTCCGACACCGGCGTAGCTGTCAAACGATCGAACAGGTGTTACCTACGCGAGGTGCCTGGAGTAGTGGGATACGCGATTTCTTGTGATACCACACGCGCGGCGCGCGGCGGCTCAAAGAAGTAAGCCCCAGTGAGTCGTCGATCAATCGATGTGACACGTACATTCCTCCAGCATTCCTCGATACTTGACTGGGCGCCGAGGGGTGTCTACGGGGCGAGTGTGGGTGTCATTCTGTGAAGTGTCAGTGGAGTGTGTCGGTCTCTCGGCGCGAGGTGCGAGACCAGGCGTGGCTGCTGCGGAAGACGGAAATTGGACGTTGGATGAGATTCACCGAGGATGGCGCACCGTAAGATGCCTTGTTCGCGATCGATGCCCAGATTCAGCGGCATTTCGCTGCTGCTGATTCTATTAGCGGAGGTGAGTGCGATTGCCGGTAATGACATGGATATAGGACGCGTCGATAGAATGTCTTTCTGTGCTGGAGATGTGGGCACCGGCTCGAAGGACACGCGTTATGGTAATATGCGTACGTATCTGTGAAATTTTACCGTCACCATCCGTGCACTGCGATTCTTAGAAGATTTCGCTTTATTTATTTCTTTTGTTTTCCGTGTGAAGTTCTTATTATCTCTTGCTGAAACATCGAGGACCGAACTATGATTTCAATTCAGGACATTCCTCTGCGGAATGTCCCTTTAACTCTACGTATACACACTGGGGTCCTTGGGACCCCAGCGCAACTTTGCTAAACGTGCTAAATCGAGATTTTGTTGCGTTTCCTTTCTCTTTTAACCCATATATCTCAGAACTCCTTAATTCTATCGACTTTTATTCATTATAGGCTTGTTCCTTCAATTCTGTATAGATTTAAAAAAAGTGAATTAAAATATATCAATTTTTGATAGAGTTACAAATATGGATGGGGTCCCCAGGACACCAGTGTGTATAGCACGTAGGCAAAATATAAGTGTGTATAGGGTTAAATAGGAGCACGAGGTTGTACTTACAGCTCTTCTGAGACGGTTAGTTACATTGATAGGAACCTGTATACAAATGCGAGTTTACACCACGAATGATTCGCGAGTTAATGGGTCAAAGTGGTCTGGACAAATAGTTGCAGAGAAAAATGTTAACACAACGATTTCTAACTCCTTATTTAATACTATTGTTCTCAAACAATATCGATTTCTCATGAGCCATATGCGAGAACGATACATGCAGGATGCAATTATTTAACACTGTTGCTTTGAAGCAACATCTGGTTACCTGTTCGTCGATATCTCAGTAGTTTTGATTTTTGCCTCTAGATAGCAAAAGTCGCTGAAAATATGGTTTTCATAATGATATTTTGGGAACAATATAACTGCATTCATATAAGAAATGATTTACTTCACTTGAACACTCAAAAAATTTTTCCTTAAATTTCTTAGGTCTACCAAATAAAGAGTTAAATTAGAAACTTTGAAAGTTATCTTTCTCTGAACACGACCAGGTATGTCCAAATGTCAACAACGTGGAGAGAGAGAGAGAGAGAGAGAGAGAGAGAGAGAGAGAGAGAGAGAGAGAGAGAGAGAG